ATTTAGTATTCTACAGGGCCTTAAGTGTAGATACAGACGGCGAGTGGGTTCTGTCAATAGCAAGCTGCCCGCGTCATAAGAGGAGTTGACGTCCGAGAGTGAAGTTCATGAAATACGTCACGCATTGAACATTTTTTACCAAAAACTGTATAGAGAGGAACTACGATTAGCTTATACACATATGTACATAGTATGTAAGTCATATTTTTGCAACGCTTGAGTCACACATGTCGCATATGTACTCGCATAAATTTTGATTTAATTTAGCATGTGTGCAAAAACGTGGGTGTCCAGTGGAAAAAACCAACAATCTTTATACGAATACTTGTTTTTTTTTGTTTTACTATTCGAAGATGTTGCCATAAATTATTTTGCGTAGTCGAAAGATGCCAACCAGCCGCTTTGTCTGACATAGTACATCATTGTTGTTGTTTAATTTTTTATAGTTATTGTCATATTGCCATTTAAGTGATTACCGCTTCCGCTAAGCACATGTGCGCCATACAAACACTTAAAAACACATGTTTGTATGTGAGAAAAAAAATGCAAACAGACACACACAACAAACACTAGAAATGTGCAGATGTTCGTTTGTTGGTAGTTGGTTACCTGCTTCTGCATTGAATAGCAAAATTAGGCGTATTAGAAGATGAGGAGTGTTTGAGAAAAGAACTAGAAATCAAAATTTTATTTGTAGTTTTACTTTCAATGCGACCGGTTGGCTGTTGGTGGAGTCAGTGTGATGGAGGAGCGCAGTAAATGTTGCAGACTTTAACAAAACGATTATTAAAGTAAAATGACAAATTGTGATTTGAAAAGTTGGTAAAACAAAAAAAAAGGTTATCTACAAAAAACAAGAAAATGAAAATTTATTTTTTAAATTATTAAAAAAAAAAATTCTCATTTATTTTAAACGAGTATTAGTTAAATGATGACATATGTATGCACATCTATCTAGCTTTTTTCTTTTGTTTACAAGACACATATCAACACAAGTAAAAACAATTGCAAGTGAAAATAATTAAATCCCCGCCAGCCACGCGCCAAATCGCCTTTGCCAGTTCAATGCCATTGACGTCAATTCGTTCGTTTGCCAAAAGCAAATTGTTTCTAAACAATTGAATATTTGCAGAAAATCGTGTATTTTTTATTATTTACTTGTGTGAAATTCAAAAAAAAAAACACAAAATAAAAGACAATAAATAATACATAATGTTTTCAACAAATTTCGTTAATTGTGAAAATTGAAGTGCATTCCTAAGGAAATAAGCAAAAAATCGAAGACAAGAAAATAAAAATATGGTACAAAAATAATCGCGAAAAATTTGTGCATACATTTTTGAAAGGATTAAAAGTTAATGTTGAATTTTTATGGTACCTACAAGTACCAAGGAATAATTTTCTTGCTTAAATCTAAATAAAGAACCATGACGCCAAATATTTTTATCAATCGTTTACTAACGGTGAGTGTAAAGATAAAGTAAGCTGATAATTTTTTTCTTTGTTTTTTGAATGCTTATTTTATGTCGTTTGGTGTGTGCTTTGTAGAAACTATTAAAATTTAAGACCACAGCGAATATGTATTTTATAATAAAATAAATATTTTGTTTGTGTTATTTATGGCCTTATAACACTTATATTCAATAATTTGTATTGAGCTTGAGGCCGTTTTTAATGTTTAATGTTAGTTTTTCATTAAAAACGGCCTCAAGCTCAATAAAAATTGTTGAAAATAAAATAGATATTATTTTTTTAAATTATTCTAGCAAGAAACACGAATTTTTGTTTGCTACTTTTTTAGTTTAACTTAGCCTGCTATTTATTGAGCAGAAAGAAATCGTTAATCCAGCCCTTAAGAAAAACACAATTCTTTTATGAAAAACAGCTCAAATTTTTTTTTTCAAAATTTTCGTAAATCAGTAGCAGTTCTCAAAAGATTTCTTACATCGTCTGTTAAATTTTTCTAAAGGTTTTTTCTGCTTTTCCCTGCTGCATTTTCAAGCGAAAGAAAGAATTAAACATTTTTCTTGTGGGCTGGAGACCAGCCTTTATGAATTAATAAAAAGCAAGGCTAAGATTTAAGTAGACTTTTAAACCTGATAGCTTCCAAAAAATTTCAAAACGTTCTGATGAATCCCATGAAAGTCCAAAAACCACGGGAAGTCGTGGAAAAAGTTAAGATGTACATACTTCTTGTTTTGAGTTTCCAAAATATATCGAAAGACCCCAAAAATCCGGACAATATCACGAAAATCTCCCAAAAAAACCGAAACTTTTTATATCATTTTTTTCAATTTCATTTATTTTTATTTTTAAATCTTATTGATGTAACAAATTACATTTTTTAGTTTCATTTAATTCTTAGAAACATATATTTTTTGCTTACTTTTCCAATAAACTTTTTGCTTTTTAATTTAACTTTTAGATTTTATTGTTTTAAATTTAGTTGCTAAAAATAATTGAACTTTCTTAATTATCTATTTTTTTTTTAATTTTAGTGTTTTATAATTTTAGAATCTATTATTTAAAAAACAAAAATATTTTTTTTTTAATTAGCAACTTTATTTTCTTAGCTATTAAAGAGAAATATATTTTTTATATCATTTAATTTTTAGAAACTTGTATTATTAATGTTTTATTTTTAAATTTTTGCTCTCTTTAATTTAACTTTATTTTAATTTTTAAATTTTATTGTTATAAATTTAATGTTTATGTTTTATATTATATTTTATTTTATTTTTTATATTTTTTAGGTCTTATTTTTTAATTCATTTGGAATTTAGCAACTTTACTTTCTTTATTATTATGTTTTTAATCTAATTTTCTTCTAAATTTCAGTTTTACTGTTTAAAAAAGTAAGACATTTTTCTAAATTTCTGAAAGTACTTATTGTTAAAAGACAAACAGAATAATGATAAGAGTTCGTTAGCAGATTTTTTAGTTAGTCTCTCGAAAGACAGAAAAGAATTGAATACAGTAGAACTGTATTGTGTTGAAAAACAGTTTCCGAAATTGCCAAGTAAGACTTTTCAAAAGGAAAAAAACCAATGACTTATTTAGTATGTAAACAAATAAAGCTTATGTGACACTTTATTAAATGCTCTAAATAAATTTTGCAAAATTCCAAACAGTTGGTGTAGATAATTGTCGTCAAATTTAACCTTAGTAATACCATTTATAAATGTTTAGTAGAAAGGCATGGCAACAATGCTGGCAAAAAAAAAGATTAAAGTGTCACCATCATTATTCATACGTACTCACTTAAGTATGTATGTGTGTATTTAGTACATCTACTCAATTTGGTCACAATTGTTTGCGCGGATTTGGGCCGCATTATTTTTGGTAGGCTATACGAATACTTAATATACAAATTTGGCAGCATCATTTATTTTATAAAACAACAATGAATGAGCGGCATAAAAAACAACAAAAAACAATACACAGCTTCGGTACTTAAAAGAGCAATTCGTGCAAAATCAGTGTGGCAGCTGTGCCCCAGTGGGGGTTGCTGTGTCAAGTGAAATGATTTACCACGAGAAACAACAGGAACTGAAGGATTTGTTAGCCACATTTTCACTTAAATGTTGCCTACAATATATGGACATGAATACTTACTTATACAAGTACAAACCTATTTTCCTTTTTCCATTTTCATTTGTGAAAATATTGTATGGTGTTTTCTATTTCACGGTGTTGATAAATTGTTATACACTCTGTTATATACTTATAGTACTATGTATGTATGTATGTATACATGTGTGTTTGTATGTAGTATGTGTAGATAATATAAATGGATGGCGGAGCAAACTCAAGTGAATGCCGGAATGAATTTTTAATGCAAGGGCCATTTTTTCGTTAATTTTCGCGACGAATCTAACAAAGAATATACGTTTTAAAAAACAATTGCTTTTCCTTAAGAGCCGTTTTCTCAAGTAGTTTTTAAAATTTATCTGCCTTTTAAATACAAATTTTGCTAAAAAAAAAAGATTTTTCCTGGCAGATAAATTTGAAAAACTTCTTGAGAAAACGCTCTAAGCATAAGAAATCGTTCTGAGCGCATAGAGTGGCTTCGAAAACCTTGAACCGGCATTCAAAATAGCAAATTAACGAAATATATATACAAAACCTATTGGGCTTCAAGAAAAATCAGCACGTCTAATTACAATATCCTCTACCAGCCTGGGGAAAAAAGTAGTTTTTTAGAAAAATTATTTTAGAGAAGATCCTAATATTTGTACAAAAAATTATGTACAAAAATAAATAAAAAATAAAAAAGATATTTAAAAAATAGCGAAAAATTTTGACCATACATAAGAAAGAATAGTTTTTTTGGAAAAAATATCTTTTTAGGAAAAAATTATTTTTTTAAGGAGAAAACATTTGTTTTTAAAATGCGCCTGGTATTTATATCATGCAATTTTAGTAAAAAATATATTTATATCAAAATAAAAAAAAAATCAAACCAAGGTTTTTCTATTTTTATTTAAAAAAAATTTGTTGACGAAATTAACATAAGTTACAACAAAACTCCTTTTACCCAAAAAAATTACCAACATTAGAAACGAAGATTTTTCGGAGAAAAATTATTGCGGTAAAATTTAATTCTTCAGAGAATATAGAATTAAAAAAATATATTAAAATCATCTTAGGGAAAACATCGTATGTATGTAGGAAAAATAATTTTTAGGAAGGTCATATCTGCCCATATGGTCATATTTAAAAAAAAAAATGTTTTTTGAAAACTCATTTTTTTTGAGCAAACCATTATTTATTTTAAGGAAAAAAACTTTTGTAAAAAATCATAAAGAAATACTGCATATTTTATTTCTTAAAAATCCTACCTATTTTTTAACAATACATATAGCCATCCTTTTTTATTTCGTATTAATTTGTATAATGCAATTGCTGCAATTTCACTTAAAATGCATACAAACCATTCGCATTGCACTGCATACCCACCTTCAATTCATTAACCGCCTTTTTTTCTTTTCTCGTTGCAGCAATCTCTGCTTGCCGGTCGCATACCAGTCACCTCAATGACAGGTCCAATTAAACGTGGCCTGCTGTGGCAGCAACGTGACCGCCTTTTTTCACGCTGGAAGGAAAGGTAAGTGAGCAATAACAATAAAACAAGAACGAATTAAATGCGTCAACCGACTGAATGCCGCCAAAAAATAGCAGAATCAGTAAAATAGGGATGCATCAGCAAAAAGAAAAAATTAAAATGCATAAAAAATTTTGTAGGTACGTGAGATAAAGCGGCCCAAAACGAATTGTCGAATAATTAATTTAAAACCTGCATTTTTTTTGAAAGTCCGCTTTAATTGTTGGCCGTGGATTATTAAGAAAATAAAAAATGGGAAAACTCAGCCTGGACACAGTGCCGTGGTGAAAATGTAAATGTCGATTCTCGAGAGGTGGTAGGCATTAAATAAGTATTTCTGTATATTTTTGGATGATTATGTTGAGATGTGGTTGGAATGGCCAGAGAGTACACCTCTCACTACTTTTATTCCCTTTTGCTAACATATGTATGTTGTCAGCTCCTTGCGATCACTCAGATAATTCTTCGTCCACTCTTTTGGTTACTGAGGAAGAGAGGAGGCGTCAATCTTTTCTAAGTGCGTCTGCTAGGACGATTCACCCACAGGGGCGCGTACGGTTAAATCCAAGAGTACCTTAGTATTTAGGGCGTTGCTCGAATGGGCAGTGGTTGCGCTATTCCATGTGAAAGCCATTCTGCTGCTTCACTGGTGTCGGGTTGCATGTGTAGTACGGAAATAGCGACGCCTTAGGAATCTTCACTACCGTTTAGCGACAAGACTGTTTTTTGTTAGCAGGTCTCCCCGCTCAAGTATTGTGAATGAAAAGAGTAGTCATCGACAAATTGAAGAACCCAATAGGGCAGTATTCGCTTCGCGGACCTAGAATTTTCCTGCATGTGTAGTCCGGGGGTATTTGCCCACCTGATAGCCACCTGAACTTCGGCGATTGTTAAGTAAGAGGCGAAGATATGTTTGACAGTTTGCACAGCATTCTGAGACTTATCCACCGAAATCTCTCATCTCTTCCTTTTCTTTCCTTTGATACCAAGCAGTGCATAGGGCACCTACTGAGCTTGGATCTCTTTCCAGCTTAACCCGAGTTGCTTCATTCGTCGATCGGCTGTCACGTTTCGCGGGGTTTGCCGAGAGGCGTGTCTCTGCCAATAAGGGCATTTCCGTTCTATGGATTTCTTGGCAATATTTATTGCTGTTGTGACTTTCCAGATGGAACAGCCATATGGCAGTAACGAAGACACATTGGATTTGAAAAGCCTAATCTTTCAGTATGGAACTCAGACTTTTTCCTCGCCATGTCCGAGACACAGTAATTGTTTCGGCGGCAAAAAATTTAATTACGGGGTCAGAACGCCAACCTGTAAGTGGATCAACGAACTATCCTGGAACCAAATAATCCAAGAACCCTACTGCGAACCCCACTTGGCTACGGTGGACGACTTCGGCTTACGTCAACCAAAACCATTTCCAGAGTGATTAGGTACTGCTGCTCTTAATACTTTTACTATCGGCCGCTGTGGTGTAGTGGTACGCAGTGCGCGCTTCCACTCCACAATGCCTGGGTTCAAACCCTGGTCAAAGCAACATCGCAAAAATATAGAAAAAAGGTTTTTTCTTAACAGCGGTCGTCCCTCGGCAGGCAATGGCAAACCTCCGAGTGTATTTCTGCCATGAAAAACAGCTTCTCATAAAAATACAATCGCCGTTCGGAGTCGGCGTAAAACTGTAGGTCCCTCCGCTTTGTGTGACAACATCAAGGCGCACGCCACAAATCGGAGGAGAAGCTCGGCCAAACACTAACATATGTGTAAGCGCCAATCTATTATTATTATTATTATCATAAGAAAAAAATAGTACGATAGGTAGTCTCCCGGACTGAAACCAAATTTAATACAAACTATCTAATTCAGATGGAACATTATTTTACCCATCGTTGTGTAAAAGGCACTTCTTTCCAATTCTCTTTTTTTTAATTTAAAATCTACTAAATCTTCAATAGTTTAACTACGACTGATTCCCAATTAGTTTTATCTTTTGCTTTCGTTACTATGTTTTACTTTTGTTAAAGTTATGGCCATTCATTGACTAAATAACTTCTTATTGCAAATTTTTTCAGGTACTTCGTATTAACACGCGATTATCTGCATTGTTTCAAGAGAGCATCTGGTTCAGCTAACGAACGTGCCTCCGATATGGGGCAATTTATATTTAAGGTAAGTTTTGGAGAACTTCTTAATAAATTTTTTAGTTTAAATTAAGGTGCACCCTTTCATGTAACCAAATCTTTGGGCCATAAAAAACAAAACCATAAAACATATTTAAAAGGACCTATTTTTGGTAATTTAATATTTTCTGAAACTTAAATAAAAATTTCGGAATTATTTGCAAACTGGAGATGAATTTTCTTATAAAAAAATAATAATAGTAAAAACAATAACCAACAAAAAAGCGAAATTGTCGCGATTGAAAAATTTGCGGCACTAAATTTTGTCGGTACTTAAATTTTTTGCGATTAAAATTTAGCTGGGTTGAAAGTTTTCAGCACCGAAATTTTTTGCGACCAGAAATTTTTAGACACTAAAATTTTGCGGGATTAAAATTTTTCGGCCTTCCAATTTTTCAAGATTTTGGGACGGAAATTTTTCGGTACTAAAACTTTGTGCGATTAAGATTTTTCAGATTGAAATTTTTCAGTACTGCCATATTACGGCATTTATATATTTCGTATTGCTAAAGAAAAATAAAGTATCTTTATGCAGAAAGAAAAAAAAAAACATCAAAACAAACGTTTAAAAGCTGCAAATTAATTTTTAATGCGAATTGATAGGTTTCTAAAACTTCATTAAACATTTCGGGACTCAATGCGAATTGGGACTGAAGTTTTTAGGATTTTATTTACTCTGGGGCGAAGTTTTTCGGCACATGTCGGCATTGGAATATTTCGGGACTAAAATTTATTGTGACAAATTTTTGTTGGCGTTTGAAATTTTTCTGAATTGAAGATTTTTTCTACAAACATTTTGCAGGACTAAAATTTTTCGGCATTGAATTTTTTGCGGATAATATTATCAGGTCTAACTGAAGATCTTAATTTTTTTAGGATTAAAATTTTTCGATACAGAAATTACTAGGTACTAAGATTTTGCGAGACTAAGCTTTTTCAATACTGAACTTAAATGGGATTTTCAAATGTCGTATTTCACAATGGAAGCCAAGAAAAATTAATATAATTCGGAATCTACAATTTCACGGAGCTCGAAAAAAAAACAAAAACAAAAAAAAAACGAAGATAATAATAATAATAAATTAGCATTAAGATGTTTTGGAAACTACATTCAACATTTCATCGCTCTATGTATTTTAGAAAGCTTATTGAAATATTCATGCCTTTGAAATTTAAAAAAAGACTAAAAACACACCTCAAAAAGTTACTGTCACACGGTGTAATATTTAAAAATCATAAATTCAAGAGGCCCTCAATTTTTTTTTATGGCTTCGGTTTTCAGAAGCAATATTTTCAAGCCCGAATATACAAAAAAAATAAAAAATAAAAAAAATAAACAGATAAACTGTTCTTCGCCACTAATCTACATTTCCTTATTGTATATATTTATTAGCAAATGAAAATATGTATGTGCATGTATGTATGTATGTATTTGTATATGTGTGTGTCATATATTTATTTACATAAATACCACCGCTTTATATTTTCTTTGGTGCTTCGCATATGAAATAACTCTGAGACTTGCATGTTTCATTTTGCCAACGGCTGAAGCCAACAACACCCATTTGAATGCAAGAACAATTCATTGGATTTTGTTTTGAGTGCGTCCAATGGAAATAATCTAAAGCCTTGCCGGTGGACTCCGATATAAATTTGTTTGGATCGTCCAATATGTATAATCGGTGGTATTAAGAAGCAGGATTTTGAGAAAATCTGAAATATTTTTAGAGTATAAACATTATATATATATGTATAAACATTAGACTGCATCACTCCCCATACAAAAAAAAAGGTACTGTTTTTCCATTGGAATTATAAAATCTATTATATTTTAAGACGCCCACCAAAATATTTCGAAAAAATATTAAGATTTAAGTGAGCTGGACCAATTTCAAAATACCTCCAAAAATAGAATAAATACAGTTTCTTAAAACTTTTTTTTTTGTAAATCCCCTCAAATTACAAAACGGGTTAAGCTTAGAAATTTGTATAAAAATAATAAAAAAAAAAATTTTTTTTTAAAATTTTAACGGAATCGTAATGATGAGATTTTTGATGCTGTTTCTTTTAACTTTTTTCAAAAATTGTATAAGAAAAACTTGAATAACTGAGCCTAAACTCTTCTGATTTAGACTTAAGAGCTGTCGGTGGAAAGGTATTTTCTCACCCTTTTTATTTCTTTGCTAATAAACTCATTCAAAGGATGAAAGAGCAAGGTAGGATGAACGAACGTCATACAAAGATGAATTAAGATGTGTTGGTATATGAAAAAAAAAATAAAAATTGGGACACGAATAATTTTTTTTTGACAGAAATAAAAACAGTGTGAAAATACTATTCTACTGAGATCCCATAAGTCTAAATCAGAATAGTTTTAGCCCAGTTATTCAAGTTTTTCGTAAATCTAACTTTGAAAAAAGTAAAAAAACAGCATCAAAATTTCATTCTTACGATTCCGTTGAAAAGATCTTTTTTCAAAAGTTCTTTACGAAATTATTTTTATTCATAAAAAACTTTGGAGGTATTTTCAAATCGGTCCAGCTCACTTAAATCTTAATATTTTTCTTAAATATTTTGGTGAACGTCTTAAATATAACAAATTTTGTTATCCCGGTGGAAAAACCGCAACTTTTTTTGGTGATGCAGTCTAATATACATACATATGTATCGTACATACAGATGTACGTTATACAATAAAAACATTTGACATAAATATTAACTTACTTTCCTTCATTTAATACATGGAAAATGCTATCAACTTTGTTTGTGTTCCAAAAGCGACCAAAGCTTGCAATATGTG